GACGTCGCCTGCGTCTGCGCAGTGCGACCTGATGCAGCCCCTGAAGCGAGACACAGGAAACAGAAATACTGCAAAATAATAATAATAACGCGACTAAACGAGACGAAATAACGTTATAACATTACGTTTCGTCTCGTTTTGGTCAACGAAAATGAAGAGACATTTTAGCATAGTTTTTATTTTGTAAACCACATTTAGTCTCGTTTTTATTCGTCAACAATATTGCATTATACATTTAATTATCGTCATCGTCACATGACCAGCATTTTCGTCTCGTCTCGTCTTGTTTTCGTCACGTGATAAAGGTTCGTTGACGACGATATTTAGTCATAATTTTCGTTGACGAAAGCAACACTAATGATGACGAAGAAGATCATCCTCTGGACACGGAGCCGTTGATCTGCTCAGATTCAGATTGATTCAGTGAATCAGACTGATCAGATCTGAGCTTCATTTGGACACCAGGTTCAGGATCCCTGAGAGAAACAGATTCAGTTTTAGCAGAAGAAGATTCAGAGAGTATCAACTCAAACACAAATGCTGATGTGAATCAGTCAAACTCAGGTCAAGACTTTCTTTCTCTCGCTTTGATTCACTCACCTGTTTTCTGAATCACTGCACTGAAAGACACTCGGAAAACATCTGACAACAGATTGAAACGGATTATTATATTATTATACTCAAAGTATTTAATGAGAGAGACTTTATAGTTTATCCCACTGATTTCATCATTAAATATGACTTTATGACAGATATGGCTCTGTCTGTTAAAGGAGTCAAATCCTAAATGATATTTTCACTTATATTGTCAGTCTCGTCATTTAGTTTCTATGACTATTTTAAACTCTCTCTGACACAATTAAAGACTCGTGACTCACCTGAAGATCCTTTTACGCAGCAAGAAACAGAGAAATGCCAGAAGAACAATGAAGATCAGGGCAGAAATCCACCATCACTGATCTATACGAGCAACAGCACAATAAAATCATCTGATGGACTGAATTAATGAACTGTATATCATGCTGTCAATCATCAGCTGAACTCACGTGATTCTGGAGTTTGAGTCGATCCGCTGAAGGAGTCGGTGTCATTAAACACTGAAAAACACATTCACAATCATCAGGATTCACTTCAATCAAAAACACATTTCAGATGAATCAGGACAGATGTGTGTCTCTTTTAATGAACATTTGCAGTTATGACAATGATTCTCATATGAATGTATTTGATGTGTATGATCTGAAAATGGACAGAAATGAAGCTCAGTCATCATTTACTCTCCTTCATGGTACTCCAAACCTCTATGATTTCAAAAACACTGATCTTTTCTTCAAAAATTCTGCTTTTGTGTTTCACAAAGGAAAGAAAGTCAAATTTGGAACAACATGAGGGAGATTTCTGTGTGAACTGTCTCTTTAAAGATCATCATCATCATCTGTCCATCAGAAACATCAAGAGTTGAAGTGTTTCTCTCACCTCTGAACATAGTCTCATATTTTAACTGAAATGAAGGACAGAAGTGTTAATTTAGAATGTTCATGAATGTAGTTTATTGTTTTTTTACGTTTAATATTCTGATGAACACGAATGTCGAGAGAGATTGAGTTAATTTACTCCATCAGAATGACAGATGATCTCATGACGAAGTTCATCCACACAGTGAGACGTAATCAGATGATCAGACGAGACAGAAATAACAGGATCAATCCGTTTCTGAGGATCTGATGGATCTGCTATCAGACGATCATCCTGGTCCAAATCAAACAAAAAAGGATGAAGTCATGTATCTGTGTGTGTGTATAATGGTGTAGTTTGATGACAGAAACACACTCACCTGTGCATACCAGCTCTGATCGCAGTCTGGATTATCAGTTTGATTCAGTAAAACAGGCAGAATCACATACTGAAACCCCACTGCAGTATAAATCTCTGCACACGACACTGTGATGTTGTACATGTTTGCACTCAAATGAAGAACCTGTTTTTAATCACAGAACAAATTACTGCAATATATTATTGCATGACAAGTGTTTTCTTGGAATAAACATTAAACATTTCTGGAAAATGTCATTTAACACAGTGAAAATGTGCAGAGGATCATCTTCTATAATTTACCATTTGCTGATATATTTCTAAAAGTGCATATAAGCTTTGATAAGATACTGTTGAATGTCCACTTTCTGTTGAGATGGTGAATAACTAAACATTTCATCACAGACTGAATGAACATGAAGGTGACAGAAGGTGAAATAAACAATAGCTTCTGCTGACTCCATGTTGGCTTTTTGGCCATTTTGGCTCCTTTTTGTATTGTCAAATTATTGAGTTGATGGCCTATTTTATTTTAACTTATTTCTTTGTATTTGAGTTTATGTACCAATATAGACGAAATAAATATGATTGGAAGTCATAGGCTATACCCAATGATATAGAAACGATAACTTGTATAAAGTTAGGCAATATCTGACGCTGTTCTTGCAAACAACCCAGAGAATGTCGCGCATGCGCAGCACTGCATCTTGCGGGCGTTTTAAGCCTGACTCTCCGGCTCGTTTCTGCCTGTATTGTTAGAAAAATGGCATGAGTGGATTTTTTTTTTGGACCCTATAGATATCTGACAGGGGTCATATAGCGCTGCACAAATCAACTTAAGTTATGTTCTTGGGTTCTTAAATAAAAATAAGCACACATAATGCTTCTTTGGGATTTAAACACCTTTCGCTTAAATTATCAGCATTCAAAATGTACACAAACTGTACGGGCAGCCATCATTTTGCGTTCTGAGCTCGAGTCCCTCCCTCTTCTGTTGCATGTGCTTTATGAAGGAAGAATGTCGCTTTACCCGAGAAGAGAAATATGGGACGACTAGCGCTCTACGAATCAGAGCAAGAACAGCAGACACAAGCAAAGAAAATGACCAGTTTGGTCAACTTTATTCATTCTATCGCTAATAATAATCCAATAATGAATATTTGTCGCCACCTGCTGGACACTCAGCAAACATCAACATCCATCAAACAACAGCCAGTGTCAGAAATGGTCAGAAACAGATCAAATGCTGGTGTTATTGTCAGACATGTGCTGCAGTAAAACCAGTGTCATTACATTTACTGGCACAGTGTTCCTCTGTCTATGATTTTATATGCGTTGGAAATAAAACCGTTCTACCGATAAAAATATATTTTATTTTAGACTTTCCTATTTAGCTCTCTAGACTAGACTACATTAGACTTGTCACAGATTTGACTGATTATTTACCTCGCAATAATTACTAGCTCTGTTCACTCTATACAGACAGCTCCTTTCTGCAGTGCTGACTATACAGGCAGATCACTGGGTTTTAGAGCAGAAGATCTGTGAACCAACAAATGAGATCCTGCTGAAAACACACGAAACATCCTTCCCAACCTTTCAACCTTACACCATTTCATGAGATTTATATATTATATATATTTATATATATTCATGAGAATAATAATGGTTTAAAACCACATCTTTTGCACAGGTTCTCTTTTTATTACATCAGCAGCTGCATTATGTTTACACAGAATACAGAACCATTATCAATAAATGAGTGAAATACTGTCTTGTCTGGATGAATTAAAAGCTAAATTCCCACAGTGAAACCATTAATAAATACTTTAAAACTGTGTGAATGAGCTGAAACAATGAGGCTTAAGGAGGGTTGAGATGTTTCGCTGATCCGAACACAAGATCAACTGGATTCTTCTGATTCTTTGAGACCTGCTTGAAGACTGAAAATGTAAACGGCTTCATGTCCAGATGAAGATCAGGATCACCCCATCACGTTTCATATTTACTCAAACACTCAGTGCTGAATGTCATGATGAAGTTCATTCTGAGCTTCTCAACACAGATTGATTCAGTGAATCAGATTGATCAGATCTGAGCTTCATTTGGACACCAGGATCCCTGAGAGAAACAGATTCAGCAGATTCAGAGTCTCAAATGAAATGTGAATGTTGATGTGAATCAGTCAAACTCAGTTCAAGTCTTTCTTTCTCTTGCTTTGATTCACTCACCTGTTTTCTGAATCACTGCACTGAAAGATGCTCTGAAAACATCTGACAACAGATTGAAACTGATTATTAAATACTACTATATTCATCAAAGTATTTTCTCTTTATTGAGATAGATTTTACAGCTTAGGCCACTGATTGCATCATTAAATATGACTTTATGTCAGAAAGAGATCAAATCATAAACAATATTTTCATTTCTAACAATCATATAAATCATAATTTAGTGACTAGAGTCTTTCTGACAAATCAAACACTCACGTCTCACCTGAGTTTCTTTTTCCGCCACAAGAAACAGATCAAGGTGAGGATGAGAAGGATGACGATAATAAAAACAGCCAAAATCCACAGCGACTGATCTATACAAGAGATGATGAAATATACAATCAGCTGATCAATAACAGTAATTAAACGATATTAGAAAGCAAAACCACAGCGGTTTAAGTTTCATCATCTTAATGTGATTCTCATAAGACATTATTGTTTTTGTTTATTTATATTTCAGAGTATTTTACTAGCATGATTGATTAATATAAAATAAAGCAAGAATAAACACACAAAAACAATAAAGAATAACAGATTTATATCATTTGTTCAAATCTAGTGTTGTACTTGAGTGATGAAGAGTCACTTTATTCAGATCATCTTTAAAAACACAGTGATGATAAATATTCAGTGTGAGATAAAAGAGTGAAAGTGGATTGAGTGTGAATCAGATCTGCAGTGTTTTATTAGTGAATAATCAGACGTTTATCAGCTGAAACTCACCTGAGTCTGGAGTCGCTGCAGTTTCATTCCTCGCTGAAAAACACATTCACAATCATCATGATTCACTTGAAGATTCACAGAAGATTCAGTTCAACAGAGTTTGATCTCAATCAGGACACACTGATGTGTTTCACTGTTTCTCTCACCTCTGAAGATGGTGTCCAGTCTGACATGAAGCTGAAATGAAGGAAAGAAGCATCAGAACAGCATTTATAATGTTCATGAAGGATTATATATGAACACAGATGAATGTTGAGAGATTGAGTCGATTACTCCATCAGCAGAATCACAGATGATCCCATGCTTCAGATTCACACAGTGAGACGTGACGAGATGATCCGATGATACAGCCGTCGCAGGATTAATCAGTGTTTGAGGATCTGATGGATCTGCTATCAGACGCCCGTCCTGAACAAATTAATCACCATCAGATCATGTGTGTGTGTGTGTGTGTGTGTGTAGTTTGAGGACAGAAACACACTCACCTCTGAATACCAGCTCTGCTCACAGTCTCCACTGAGTGTTTGATTCAGTATAACAGACTGAATCACATACAGAAAACCCACAGCACTCTGAATCTCTCCACACGTCACATTGATGATGTCCATGATTCAATGCTGAAAAAAAAAATGTTTGAAATCTATTGTTGCATTATATTATTATTGTACAAGTGTTTAACGAACATTTAAACATTAGGAAAATGTATATTGATGGGTATTTAAAAGAAGTGAAAATGCAAAGTATACCTTGTCTTTTATAGAATCTATCAGTTCTAAATAACTTTGAAAACAAAAAAAAAAAATCCTAATGTTTTCAACAAAGAACGACTTGTACCGAAAACAAATATGTCGTATGTCGGAAAAAGGTACATTTTAAAATGTGACAATTGCAAAGAAATATACTTAGGCAGCAGAGGGCACTACTGTCACTACTGAAATAATAAACGTAAACTGAAGTGTTGTACATGAAAGTGATATCCGCTCTATGAAATGTGATATCTTCGCTCTTTATTCAGACATGCTGATGATATGTTGATGTAGGCTATAAGTTATCATTTTAATACTTCAACCATGTATCTTACCAATATAACATACTTCTCATGTTCTGATTGTTTAATAGAACCTGAAGTGTCATTAAAAGCAAATATCCCCTCTAGACATCATAACAGATTATTACTGTGATTGTGTTACAAGAGAGTCAACGTTCTTAAATTCCTGTGAACAACACATTCGTAATAAGTTATTCCGACATAAACACAACATATAATCTACCATAAAACAATAAAGCATTAATCTGCAGGTTTTTAACTAGGCAACAGATGTCATTTATATAGCAGAACAAATAAATAGAGCAATTAGTCCTGTTGCATTTATATTTTACACTATTTTAAATCAAAACGAAACACTAATATTAAACGATTATCTTATTTCGCAAAAGTGTTAAATGAAAACTCGATGCAGATCAGCACAAAGGAGTTATTGGATTAATCGCTGGAAGAGTGGCAGGACGGAATATGCAAACTATTACAAATAGCCTATCAGACAAGCCATTATAAGTCTAAAAAATTCCGTCATCTTTGGTTGTAAAGAAAGGAGTGAGACATCATTTGAAACCGTACTTTTATTTATGTATACAACACGAAAAAACTATGCCTTAAGTAAAGAAAACAAACAAGATGAGCCTTCAGCCGTCTCGTGCCCTTAAATTTGTGCTGCGGCCATTCATTTTTTTTTTTTTGTTGTACTTTTGTTAATTATTTACCTGAAACATATTTCGTGTGGACCTATTTATTTTATTCCTGTTGTCGTTTATGCAGCGACCTCTGGAAGTGGTCGAAAGGGGAAAAGCTCAAAACGTTTTGCAGTCTCTTGAAAAGCAACTACGTCTGGGATGTTTGACAAAAATTATTCTTCTCCTGATCGATTCTGATGCAGGGGCGCAGATTACGCGGGGGACGTGTCCCCCCCCCCCCCCCCCCCCCCCTTTTCAAATTCATCCCCAGCACTTTTTCAGGCAAGTGTGTTTGCATAGAGGTTTTCAAGAGCCAGTGTGAATAAATATAGATTTAAATTCAAAGAGACAGGATAGTCTGTGCATGATCTGATGTTTTATTCGGACCCAGAATAAGGCGAGATGAACATCGCGGAGCGCTAAACACTCATGCAGTGTATGTTTCATTCATAAGCGCGTGTGTGTGTTTGAGAGAGAGAGAGATAGTGAGAGAGAGAGATTATTATAATCTGAGTTTTTTATTGTATTATTTTCTCTTTTCACCGCTCTTTTCTGATTTTCCACAGA